GAAGTTCTAGAGAAGAACCAGCAAATACACCTGCTTAAAAACCACCTCTGTTCCTGAGAATTTACCTTCCCTCATCAGAAAGGTACTTAGACTATTTTTTCTGTCTGCCTCCTGCTGACCCAACTCATACCACATTCTACAAGCTATAAATGTCCCAGAAACTAAAGCTCTGTCTCATTCACCATTAACCCAACACGTCTCTGAAAGACAGACTTATTTAAAAATATTTTTAAGTTGGCACACAAAGTAATGGGTTTTATAGACTATGGACTCTTACCATGTTTACTGGCCTGAATAGGGATGTCCTTATTTCTTGAAGATAAGAAAACCAGCCTAACTGATACAAACAGAAACTGTACAGAATGTGTCAGGGACAAAGCAAAACAATCAAGAGATGTTGTTTATCCGGCATGTCCAGAGCACTGAGCTGTCTTTCACTTTGTTCATGACGGACTTGATTCCTCAGCATCTAGAATATCTATGGATCTATGGAGCAGGTGATAGTTATTTTTCTTGTTGCTATAACAAAATGGCTGATGAGAGACAATTTCAGGAAGAAAGGGTTTATTCTGGCTCAGAGTTTAAGAGGAGACAGCCCGTGGAGGCAGGGACGGCACAGGGGCAAGAGTGAGAAGCTGGCTGGTCAAACTACACCACAGACAGGATGCAGAGAGAGATGGATGTTGGTGCTCAATGTGCTTTCTCCTTTTCATTCAGCCCAAGACACTAGCCCATGGAATGGTACCATCCACATAGGGACTACATCTTCTCACCACAATGAACCCAACAGACCTTCTCTCGTGGTCATGCCTAGACGTGTGTTTCCATGGTGATTCTGAATCTTGCCAAGCTAGTAATCAATCAAAATTGACTCTCGTGGGGATTAAAAATATCTAGATATCTAAAAAGAGATCTTCCTGCCAAGAATGTTTTTCATTTAGTAAAATGAAACGCTTAGTATCAAACATTAAACATTTAAAACACTTGGTATTTACTAAGTGTCTAACATTATTCTAGGTACTGTTTTAGGATATGAGAAAATGAGTCTTGGGGCTGGCAAGATGGTTTAGCAGGTAAAGGCCTGTGTCAGGCTTGGTAATCTGAATCCCATATGGAGAGCCCATATGGTAGAAGGAGAGACCTGACTCCTAACTGTTGCCCCCCTATTCCCACGCACATGTCAAGACACACGCACACACATACATGCATGCAGAATAAATACATCAAAACAGAAAAAAAAAGTGTGGTCTCAAAAAACAAAAAGCCAGACTGTGGGCCAAAGAAACAGGGTGAAAAGCAAGCACCAGGCAATTTTGAAAAGTCTTACTTCATTCCCAGACTTTCACAGTCTGGGGCTGTGTATTTAAGGAACAAATTCCCAATTCTGTGAGGAAAGAGCTCATGCAATGAATGGCCCAACATCCCAGGATTAAGGATAAACTGTCTGCTGGGAATAATATTCTTTCCAATTATACAAATTTCCAGAAGCCTCCCACACAATTTTTTTTTAGGTTCTTCATCACTGAGGCTCTTGGCACTGACCCACAGTGGATGAAATGACATCAGGCTCTGAGAAGCCACAGGAGACGAATGTTAGTGGTCAGGCATAAGCATGAGAGGATCATCACTGTGGCAAGTCAAAAGACAGTGTGGGAATGGTGCATCTGTGAAGCCACAGCCCAGCTCAGAGAATGGGCAGAGCCCTCCATGAGGAAGGAAAACAGGGCACAGCCAGCATTGCACTGCAAAGCTTTCTGCGGCCTTTATACCAGTACACCACATATATTCACTTTGCCTGCGCAAGCCATCACAGCCCAGTGTGAACACACCTGACCGTGCCATCCCAGCAGTGTGAACACACCTGAGCATGTCATCCCAGCACAGTGTGAACACACCTGACCGTGCCATCCCAGCAGTGTGAACACACCTGACCATGCCATCCCAGCACAGTGTGAACACACCTGAACGTGCCATCCAAGCACAGTGTGAGCACACCTGACCATGCCATCCCAGCACAGTGTGAACACACCTGACCATGCCATCCCAGCACAGTGTGAACACATCTGACCATGTTATCACATAGTGGTACAAACACAGCCAGTGCCTGAAGCACCTCAGCCCAGATTCTGATCCTTGTATTCGACAAAGTGTGGTGGTTTTCCACATACACAAGGTTTTCTGCTTTTACAGAAACAAAATGGTTTAATTGTGGAACATAAAAACTTTAAAATATTTTCCTACTGTCCTTCTTTGGTGTTTAAGTATTAATTAGTTTACCTGTGGAATGTATTGCATTAAAGTGTTTGGTTTTTTTCATTAAAGATTTATTTTTAAGTAGGTGCCTATGTGAGTCAGGCTGTGTGCATGTGTGAACACAGTGCCTACAGAGGCCAGAAGAGGGCGCTGGATCTCCTGAAGCTGGAGTTACAGGAGGTTGTGAGCCCTCTGAATTGAATGCTCCCAGCTGGACTCAGGTCCTGCCCAGACACTCTTAATCACTCAGTCATCTCTCAAGGGCCAGATATCAGATTTTCAAATTTTTCTATTTGAATTTCTGACTTGAGTGTTTGGATATTTTTTAATCACTAAATGAATTTGGCTTGGTATTGGGACAGATTTTCTAACGATTTCTAAATGATACTAAACACACTCTGCTGTCTTGAACCACACATCTGTGAAAAGTGACATTAGTAATGTCAAAGCTTATAAAGTCAAGATAGCCATTAAAACAATAAAAGGTCAGGTATGGTAGTGCACAACTTTAATCCTAGCACTTGGGAGGCAGGGGCAGGTGGATTGATGGGGGATGTCCTTCTGTACATGTGTTGCTTTTATTGGTTGATGAATAAAGCTGTTTCAGCCAATGGCTTAATGGAGCAAAGCCAGGCAGGAAATTCAAACAGAGAGAGAGAGAGAGAGAGAGAGAGAGAGAGAGAGAGAGAGAGAGAGAGAACAGATACCATGTTGCCACTAAAGGAAAAAGATGTCAGAACATTCCCGTTAAGCCACAGCCTTGTGGCAATACACAGATTAATAGAAATGAGTTAATTTAAGAAGAGCCAGCTAGAAATACACCTGAGCCATTGGCCAAACAGTATTGTGATTAATAGTTTCTGTGTTATTATTCGGGTCTGGGCATCCAGGAAACGAAAGCACAGTTTCTTTCTGTGAGTTTGAGGACAGCCTGGTCTACATAGTGAGTTCCAGGACAGCCAGAATTATGTAATAGAGAGACAAAAAAAAATAAGATACCCATTGACTCTGAAAATGTTGGTGGTGCTGTATCTTCCAATATCCAATATTCAGTGGAGATTTAATGTTTCATGCAGACTAAGGAAACACATCCATCTTCTTAGTGTTCAGCACATTTACCTTTAATAAAATGATGAAATTACATATGCAGCAAAGAACTATTTTAAAATAAGTTTATTTATAATTTATTATCAGTAAATTTTTAGCCAGTATCTCATAAATACACATATAGACATGCATGTATCTATACATACAATATATACACACACCAGGGTTGTGTAAATTTTTCTCAGCAAATAGAAGGGGTCACGAGTGAGAAAAGAAGCCATGATTGTCATGAATTTGTGTTGCTTCTGTGTCAGTGAATTGTCCCAAAACCTTACCATTCAGAGAATCACTAAAAGTTGTTCTCTGACCTCCACATGTGAGCCATGGTATACAAGTACCTGTGCCCATGTCTCTGAGAAAACACAATTTTAACAAAAATAACATTGATAAGAAATAAAAATTTAAAATAAAGACAGCTAAACTGCTTTTCACTGTATTGATATGTTTGATGAGTATAAATATAAATATTATAGATCAGGCTTTAGGCAGAACACAGTGCAAAGAGCTATAGAAAAAATGACCGACTTACTGTTTCAAGGATGCTTGGAACCTCCCAGAAACTCAGGGATGAGCCCTTCAGCTGTGCTCTTGAGTGTTTCTTAAAGGCATGTCTGAGAATTCTGTTCAACACCTGCAGCGTGTCCAGTGAGACCCCGCATGCACACAGTCAATTAAAAGCTGTGCTGAGCCTTGAGGAAGTTCACAGTCTGGGGAAGATCTGGGTTTCCTGCAGACTCTAACAAACTTCCTGCGGTGGCTGGCTGCCTATTCCCTCTGTGCAGAGTCCTTGGTCCGATTCAGGTGGTCCGAGCCGCACTTCCATTCCCAGGGCTGAGTCATGGGGGGGAAGGAAGTCAGAGCAAATCCGTCTCGGCCACTGTTTAATCTAAAAACAGACCAACAATTGGGATTGCCCAACGCCACCGTTGAAGAGAGCAACGGCCATGAGGTGTCTGTCGCCTTCTCCTCCTTAGTGACAGAGCGGGAAAGACTCTCCTTGTCTCAGCCCCTTTCCTTCCTGCTTGGCTCTTTTATCTGACTCCATGATGCTTGGAGTTCCGGCACCTGTCATTACCTGTGACAGGTGTGATAGCCAGCACACTCAAGGTGACAGAGAAGAAAGAGGGGATATCCAGAGCAGAGTGATTATTACAGGGCTTATTATTATTATTATTATCATAGCTAACGCATATGAACTTTCCCATCAGCCTCTAATGGGCGCACTATCGCTTCTGCCCTTTGACCTGGCAGTCACTTCCAGACATTTGTCATAAGGATACAGCTCAGCACTTGCTCAATGACTCGTTTGTGACTATAAGTAACACAGGTGTTGTCCTCAATAGTAAAGACCAAACCAACTCAAATATCCGACAGTAGAATGTAGGTTAAATTACACAACTGCCCGGAATACAAGTCATCTATTAACACAATGGTGTAGACAGTATATAATGCCATGGAATGAAGCCAAGCCATACAAATCACAAAACAAAATACATATTCTAGTCCCCTGCACATGAAAAAAAAAGAGGTAAGAAAAAAAGATGTATGCACAAAATCCCACTAGCAATTATTAGTGGATGATGGCACTAAATAGACTTTTAAAAAAAAAGATTTGTTTATTTATTTATTTATTTATTTATTTATTTATTTATTTATTTATTATGTGTACAGTGTTCTGCCTGCATGTCAGAAGAGAGTACCAAATCTCATTACCAATGGTTGTGAGCCACCATGTGGTTGCTGGCAACTGATCTCAGGACCTCTGGAAGAGCAGGAAGTGCTCTGAACCTCTCTGAGCCATCTCTCCAGCCCCAGATGTTTTACATTTTTATTTCCGTTTATTTGCATATTATATTTTTTCTGCAGACCTTGGACTAGTGCTGGACCCAGGTCAATATCCAGCTGATCCAGAGTTGTTAGGATGGGGATACAGGAGAGATCATTTGGCCTTTATGCTTGCAGGTAACTCTTACACTGGAGGGTTTGGGAAATGAACTCCACTCACAAACAACTTGATTCATCTCCTGTTGTATCTTTCACAACACAATTGTTGTAGACCAATGAGATAGTCATTTAGTAAAAGTGTTTGCCACTAAGCCCAAAGGCCTGAGAGCAACATCTAGAACCCGCATGCATAGTGGAATGAGAGAATCAGCTCCCACAAGGTCTATGACTTCCACATAGTAGACATGACACTGAGAACACCACACACACACACACACACACACTAAAAATTACCCATGCCTTACCCAGATTTTCAAAGCACACACTCCTTTATAGAAGTCCAGGTTGGGTTGGAGAGATTACTCAGCAGTTAAGAACACTGACTGCTCTTCCAGAGGACCAAGGTTTGATTCCCAGCACCCACAAACTCCAGGTTCAGGGATTCAGAGTCCTCTTCTGCCCTTTGTGAGCACTGAAAGCATGTGGTTCACAGACATATGTGCAGACAAAGCATCTATATACATAAGACAAATAAATGAACAAGCTAACAAATAAATAATAAATCCTTCAGAAATTAAAAATAGAAGTCTGGGTTGCAGAACCCACCACGCTCATCCACCTCTGCCCTTGCCTGCTTCACCTGCCACCACCCCGCCACGAAGGTGTGCTTGTTGGTGTCCAGAAGCAGCGAGGGAAGGGGAAAGGAGCCAGGCAGGGAGCTCTGAGTTGCTGATGCGAGGCACAGGAAGAAAAGTTGTCCAAGGAATAATCTTCAGTCCCAGCCCAATTCAGTAGCTACCATCCATATTGCCCCTCGGCCCCTAGTTCAGGAGTGGATCTGGGGCCTTGAGAAATGGCTCGGGGTTAAGAACACTTTCTTCTCTTCTAGAGAACCTGAATTCAGTTCCCAGCACCAATGTCTGGCTCACAACTTTCTGCAACTCCAGCTCCAGGAACCAGGTTCCTTCTTCTGGACTGTGTAGGCACCTGCATTCACGTGCACAAATACACACGCATGCACACACACACACTCTAATTAAAAATAAAAGAACACAAAGTTGGGCAGGTAGGGTAGAGAAGGATTAGATCTGGGAGGAGTTGGAAGAGGAATGTAAATATTATCAAAGTACACTGTATCTAATTCTCAAAGACTTAATTTCAAAAGAAAATTCTTTAAAAAATTAAAACTTTCACTTACACACATCTTCGGTAAAAATATTTCACATGAGGCTCCATTGCTTATTCTGAAGATTTATATTATGGCTCCTACTACACATAATTTTGCTGTTTTAAAGTTCAAACACCAATCTCTAGTTCCAGGCTTTCACACGGAAGGACAAAGTGGCATAGTCTGTGTGCCACTGTGTCCCCTTTGCACTTACCATCATTGTTCAAACACAGGAATACAAGGTACTGTATCCAAGGACAACTAGGAGGATGCTGGACAAATTGACTCTTGAAATGAAGGCAGCAGCTAACAGTATTGCAGACTGACTGTGGGAACGGGAGTTCTGAGAAATAACTTCCGTGTAGAAAGCATGTCTCATCAAGCCAGGTATGGTGGTGCAGGCCTGTAATTACAGAACGTGGGAGATAGGAAGAGGGAGCAGAAATTCAAATGATCTCTGCTACATGGCAAATTCCAGGCCAGCCAGAGCTACTGGAGATTCCATCTCAAAACCAGGGGTCAGGGAGATGGCTTAGTGGGGGAAAGCATTGCTGCACAAGCCTGATGACCTGAGTTCAATCCCCATGTCCCACAGAAAGCCAGCTTGGTATCTGCAACTAATCTCGGCATCCAGAGAAATGGAGTCAGTGATAGCAGGATCAGCTGGAGGCGCACAGTTCAGCTTGCTTAGCATAGTACACAGAATGGCAGACACAGGAGAGGACCCGCCCCCACAAGGTGGAAGCACAGAACCAAGTCCTCAAATGATGCCTTATTAGTCCCACATGTACACCACAGCACACGTGTGCCTGCATGTGTGCACATGTGCACAGATCACACCACATGCACACTAAAATTTATTTTAATTATTTAAACAATAAAATCCCAAACAACAAAAACTTGCTAATAGCAAGCAAATGAAAATGTGCTCGTTTGAAACCTACCTGTGTCATGAAACTCATCCCAAACCACAACTGTCTAGGATTTATGCCAATAAAAGAAGTTTTTCCCCCTAGAACATTGCTGAGAATGACAGGATGATAATTTTTCAAAAACCCAACTTTAGCCTACATTGTTGTCTCTAAATTCTCTGCACACCGCGGTCCTGCATCTGTTTGTACTTACATGGGGAAGCTCCGCCCCACTCCTGGAATGCTAATCTCAGCATCTCCTCCAAGGTTCAGGTAAGATATGAGGTGAGACAGGGCTGTGGTGAGAGATGAGGGCCAAGAACACAGGGTATCAGTGAAAACAACTTGGAAGAAATTTATATTTTATTTTATTTTATAAGAGATAAGGACCTTTCAACTCCATCTTCTGAACAGGAACGTTCAGCCTGATTCCCTGTCCGGAAAAACTCTGGCCTCTCCATTATCCAAAGCTCACCAAGTTCCCCCTAGGATGTGACAAAAACAGGCACAGAGGCCAAGGCGGAGCAGAGCCCAGCTTGCTGAGTCAAGATCAGTCCATCTTCAGCCTTCCTGAACCCTGCCACGCAGTTCTGTTGCTACTTGTCTTCGTCCTTTTGCATTTTTTTGCTGCCCCTATTTCTTACAAATGAGGTCTCCCTTAAACACGTTCTCACTTACAAGGAACAGGAGGCCTGCTGCTTCAAACCCAGGTCACAAGCAGCTGCTTTCAAACCTTATAAGGAGAGGTTCAGGGAAGGGTCAAGGTTCTAGCCCAGGAACACCTGACTGCAACAATTCCAGGAGACTTTAATGATATCATCACCACACGGTGTCACATGCTTGCCCTTTACCCAGAATCCCTAAGTTATTATCTAGAGCACTCTGCTGGTAGGTATTCTGTAGTGAACCTGAAAACTTCTTGTAATGAGGAGGAATCAAGGAGAGTGTCCTTCCTTGGGGGGGGGGGGGAGACAAGGGAACAGGAAGAAGTATTTGGGCATGGTGGGGTGTGCCCCTGATGCCTTCCAGAAGCAGAGACTGGAGGCCAGCCTGGGCCATACAGTGAGTTTCAGTACAGCCTGAATAACAAGCCTGAATATATATTCTTGCTACACTACCACCATGTCCGTCCATCATGGCAAATTGTAGCCTATGGGCCCAGACAAACCATCACTGGGGTTGCTTGCTGCCAGCCTAGCTCCAGGTTCATCTAAAGACCCTGTCACAAGGGAATAAGATGGAGAATGTCAGAGCTGGTTGCCTGCCATCTTCCTCAGGCCTGTCCCTGGGTACACAGGCAGGCACATCCAAACATACGTGAGCATATACATACGAACATACTCACACACACACACACAAGTCAATGAAAGCACTTTAGACTGAGACTTCCAGATATATTTGCTTATTTCTATTATAAGTGATAAAAACAATTCATCTTCCACATCTGGCCACAAGACTTGCTTCGTAGATGGTCTTCAATGTGTTATCAAGAAAACCTTTATATATGTAAGAACACAATCAATAACAGAAAAGGCAATATGGCAACACCAGAGCCCAGCAAGACCTGAACGATTCAACACAGCTGAAACACAAGAAAGTGAATTAAAAAATGTTGTTATGAAAATGATAGAGGTCTTTAAGAGGATATGAAAAAATCCTGCAAAGAAATTGAGGGAAAGACAGCCAGGCAGTCAGTGGTGGTGGTGCATGCCTGTAATCCCAGCACTCAGGAGGCAGGGCCAGGCAGATCTCTGTGAGTTTGAGGCCAGCCGAGTCTACAGAGCAAGTTCCGGGACAGGCTCCATAGCTACTGGGAAACCCAGCCTCAGAAAGAAGAAGAAGAAGAAGAAGAAGAAGAAGAAGAAGAAGAAGAAGAAGAAGAAGAAGAAGAAGAAGAAGAAGAAGAAGAAGAAGAAGAAGAAGAAGAAATTGAGGAAAAGACCAACAAAAATTTGGAAGAATTCAATAAATAGATTCATCAGTCAAAGAAAATATTAAATATCAAAACAAAAACAAATTATGACCCCTTCTTCCCAGTGCCCCATTTCAGGAACTGGTGCATCTAAACGCATCTTGCTCCATGTCCACCCTGCCTCTCCCCCAACCCCGCCCCTGGTTATGTTGAAGCAAAATGGTTTAGAAAACTCCCATCATTTTATTCATAAATATTTCATTCTCTATCAATAGACGTTTTATCAAAACATAATACTTTTTATTACACCTCCTTTAAAATATAGTCTTCCTAGGGTCAGCAGGACACCTCCACAGGTAAAACACCTGCCCAGGCAAGCCAGAACCTGAGTTTGATATCTGTGACTGGCCATAAAAGAGAAAATCGGGCCGGGCGGTGGTGGCGCACGCCTTTAATCCCAGCACTCGGGAGGCAGAGGCAGGCGGATCTCTGTGAGTTCGAGGCCAACCTGGTCTAGAAGAGCTAGTCCAGGACAGGAACCAAAAAAGCTACAGAGAAACCCTGTCTCGAAAAATAAAAAAAAAAAGAGAAAATCGGCTCCATGTGCCATGGCACACATAGAATGATAATGCTTTGATTAAAATAATTTAAATTTTAAAATTAAAAAATAATATTCTTAATACCAACAATTCCTGTCTAACATTAAAAATCTAGTTGTTTTTCAATTTTAAATTGTCTCAAAAATCTATAGCTTTGAATTCCTGTTTTCCTATCGACTTTTTCATATTATAACTGGGAGTCTAACGGAGTGTCTCTGTTGGTGTCCCTCCCGCCTTCGACCTCATTCAGATCATTGGTCCTGTGGGGTTTTCCATAATCTGGGTTTTACTGTCACATTTCCACATCTGATTTCTCTGCTCTGTGCATTTCTCATAAATCGCTGGTTCCATTTTGTCAGGACTTGTCCATAGGATGGTTGCTCCATCTTGTTAGTGATGCTTAGGAATGATCTTGCAGAAGATCCCAAAAACAAACTTTTTGCATTGACCAAGAGGGCAAAGTAACAGTCACAGCTAGATATATATGTACATAGTGATGTGTGTGTGTGTGTCTGTCTGTCTGTCTACCATAATGATAAGTTTGGATGTAAGTGAGTATCTTTTAATTTCCCAAGAAATGGGAAATTCAGAATTAGGTGCAATTATAGGCAATTAATTTTTTTTTTTTGAGACAAGATCTCAGGCTGCTCTCAAACTCAGAATCCTCCTGCTTCCGGTCCTAAATTCTGGGATCGTAGGTGTGTGCCACCACACCTGGTTCTGCACGTGCCAATGACGAGGTCCATTCACAAGGCGGATTTGTAGGTGATTTCTGAAGTTTTAGAGAGAGATGACAGGGTCAGGTTAGAATCGCAGCAGTCCATTCAAACCAGGAAGCTCTCTTCTCTGTCTTTTTCATTTGCAAGATAGTCAGGCTGTGACACCGATGGTGGCATTTTCATGGTCTCTATTATAAAGACACCCTTACACTTCACATTGCAGAACCATATCATAGTAACCATCATGGTGAGGAACTAAATCCCCGGTTACTGTTTAATACCAATAGCTTGGTTATTCTACATCCTGTTCCAGGACCTCACAGAAGAGATGCATGCCCTTGTCTTTGGACAGTCTCTGAGACACACTGTCCTCCACCGGGTTCTGAAAAATGACCGTCACATTGAATAATGGCTGTGTGGTGGGGGTGCAGGACTCACATCTGAATTCATCGTTTCAGGGAGGGAGTCATTGCTGTTTTGTTGTTGTTTGGTTTGTGTGTATGGGTGTGTGTTTTATATTTTGGGTTTTTGTTTGGCTGGTTGGTTGGTTGGTTGGTTGGTTTGCTTTTGACATAGTAAGTAGAAAAACTCCGGGTTTTTAAAAACTTGTTATAGATTTATTTTATGTGTATGAGTGTTTTGCCTGTGCTTGTCTGGTTCACCATGTTAACACAGTATTGTGAAGAGGCCAGAAGAGGGTTTTCTATCCTCTGGAGTTGGGGTTATAGACATTCGTAAGCTACCATGTAGGTTCTAGGAACCAAACCCAAGACACCTGCAAGGGCAACAAGTACTCTTAGCCATTAGCCATTACCTCCAGCTCCGAATTGCTTAGATTTTAGAAAACCAAATTGACTCCTAAAGTCAGTCTGAGCTGATAGGTGTCTACCATACTGTTCCTTTCACTTCTAGCCTGGCCCACAAGCCCACAAACATGAAAATCTGTCCATTTGCTGCTGCCTGGACGACTAGACTCCTAAACACTCTTCCTGTGTAAATAGCCAAACTCCAGGTCAACATTCAACAAGAGTTTTCCAACACATCTCTGAGAGGTAAGGTGACATCAAAACCAGCTGACATCTTAAACATCTGCTTTTGACTGATGGCCCCAGGAACAGGAGATAAAGCCTCCCCAAAACTGGTCTTTCCAGCACACAGCCTATAGACCACATGTACCTCAAATAACTATGAATGTGACCCAATACAAAATTATAAAGTTATTTAAAATAATCTGAGATTTTTTTGTGCTATGTTTTAATTCATATTATTTATTTCTATATGGGTATTTTTCCAGCATGTTTGTCCATGCGCCACTTTTGCATGACTTGTGCCTACAGAGGCCAGAAGAGGGCGTCACTGGAGAAACAGATGGTTGCGAGCTGTCATGTGGATACTGGAATTGGAAGAAAAGCTGGGGCTCTTAACTACTGAGCCATCTCTCCATCCCTCCGTTATTTATTTTGTAATTCAATTGCACAGTTCTCCAGAGCAAACTTTGTAGTTGACCAAGTCATGTCTCAAGATCAAAAGGCTGAACACACCTAGTAGAAGATGCTCAAAGTACACACGAAAACAAAATCCTCGCAAGGCCCACCCACGAAGTGCAGATCGTGTAAATGTGAGATGGTGCAAAATAAAAGGAAACAAAGCCTTGCTTTATCCCTCTGTGGTAGCTAGCACAGGACTGCAACTGTAGCACCTGACTGGCTCTAGCAGCAAGAGACGGAGTCTGATGCTGGCCTGGACTAATTAGAGATACCTTGTCTCCAAAGACAACCAAAGAAAAAGTTTGTGTATGCTGACATCAAGATTATATAGGTAGAAAAAAAGAGACACAACCTTGGACAGCTTTAACACAAGGCAAATCACGGGCAGATTGCTCTATAAGAATTTGAATTACCGGTGTGATGGGGAGAGATTCACTTGGATATTTAAGCTTAAAGCAGTCAGGGTTGGTGGAACCGAAACAAACGTTCCTGGAGAAACATCCTTGAACCAGGCCTTTCATCAGTCCTGTAAACGAAACCACCAAGGCAGTGTGCACCTCCCAGGAAAGCAGACAGAAA